AGAGACAAAAAATAAATAAGTAAAAAGACAAAAAACAGGTACTGTTATGCACTCCTGTGGGGAGTTTATATTTTACATTTACATTTGTAAAACCTTTCTAGAGGTCAATATCTGTTATAACCTCTTAAATGTTCATAATCTTTGTTATTCTAATTTTAGTTACAGAAATTAATCTTAAGGAAAATTTGGAGTACAATGTTATATATAAGAGTGTTTATCAATGTGGCACATACGCACTGTGGAATATGATGCAGACATAAAAAAGAATGAGTTCATGTACTTTGCAGGGACATAGATGAAGCTGGAAGCCATCATTCTCAGCAAACTAATATAGGAACAGAAAACTGAACACCACATGTTCTCACTCATAAGTGGGAGTTGAACAATGAGAACACATGGACACAGGGAGGAGAACAACACACACTGGGGCCCGTCAGGGGATGGGGGGCAAGGGGAAGGAGAGCATTAGGACAAATACCTAATGCATGTGGAGCTTAAAACCTAGATGATGGGTTGATAGGTGCAGCAAACCACCATGGCACATGTATACCTATGTAACAAACCTGCACATTCAGCACATGTATCCCAGAACTTAAAGTAAAATAATAAATAAATAAGAGTATTTACCACAGTTCAAGTTATAGATCAGGATTTTTTTAAAACCTGAATATTTAAATATTTAGTTTAGCATGACATACAGTGTCTTAGTCTGCTATAACAAAATACCTTAGACTGGATAATTTATAAACAAAAGAAATATGTTGCTCTGGAGGTTGAGAAGTCCAAGATCAAGGTGCTGGAAGATTTGGTGCTAGGCAAGGGCCCATTCCTCATAGATGTCGCCTTCTACGTGTTCTCACATGGCAGAAGGGCAAAGAGGCTTCCTCTTTCATAAAGGCACTAATTCCATTCCTGAGGGTGGAATCCTCATGATCTAGTCATCTTACAAAGACCTCACCTCTTAATACCATCACCTCAGAAGTTAGGCTACAACATATGAATTTTGGGGAGAATACAAACATTCAGACAATAGCATATACATAGAATAGAATCACTGTGGAGCCCTTATAAATCACGTTTTGGTATAAATGTAATAATAGAATGAGTTCATGAAATAATATAAGTGAAAAAATAAGATATGTAACAATGGGTACAGTATGATTACACTATTTTATGTAATGTATACAATGTATAATATATGAAATATATATGTACACATAATAAATACATGTACATAAAATATTTCCTGGTATGTACATGTGTATATATATTTTTATGTATATAATTTATACACATTAGCAAAAAATGAGAAAATATGACAAATATTTAACAGTAGCTATTTCTCCAGCAGCAGGATTACAGATAATTTTTATTTTCATACATTTCTGTCTGACTTTTCCAAATGTGCTATTATGAGCACAAATTTTATAATTAAATACAAGTCAATAAGCATTTTAATGTGCCTATAACAGCCCATCAGCAAGTGAAGAGATGAGATAAAAATGTGTCTGCACTTGGTACACATATTGATTTTCTTTTACTTCCATTTCCAGATGATATTGACAAAGATATTGAAAAAATTTGATTGATATGCCTCAGCTCAGACTTGCTATGCAAGAGCAAAGTCTTATTGTTTTAAAGGAATTATTTGCTGATCAGCTATAGGGTGACTTGACCTCATATTCCTACCATGATAGTCCCACAGTGTAGGGATGGGGTGGTATGACTCCCAAGACTTGGAGTATGTTATTTTCTCAGGGCAATGAAGATTTGGACAAATGATAGCAAAGACAGAATTATTATCTCATCAAAGACATCCCTCAGCAGTGTCTGTGGGCTGTGCAGTGTTCTCAGTTCGATAAAGGATTAGGACACAATGCTTCTTTGGAGAACTGTGACTTGATACTGCCTCAATATCTTTCTGAGAAATGTTTTTCATTTTCTTGCCTCTTTAACTTCTTAAGCCTTAGGAGAATTAGTTGAAAAGCCAAGTCTTTGGGGTAGATACTAACATTAAGTCTTCTACTCTGTCATTTGCAATGATAAATTCCAGAACACAGCTCCTAATTCCATTGTGTATTGTTTTCTAAGGGAATGATAGACAGATTCTTTATTTTTTAAACCCCTAAGCCTACCACACTTGCTGAGTTCCTCACTGGTCACTAAGAAAATCCCAGCACTTTGGGAGGCCGAGATGGGCGGATCACGAGGTCAGGAGATCGAGACCATCCTGGCTAACACAGTGAAACCCCGTCTCTACTAAAAACACAAAAAACTAGCCGGGCGAAGTGGCGGGCGCCTGTAGTCCCAGCTACTCGGGAGGCTGAGGCAGGAGAATGGCGTAAACCCGGGAGGCGGAGCTTGCAGTGAGCTGAGATCCGGCCACTGCACTCCAGCCCAGGCAACAGAGCAAGACTCCGTCTCCAAAAAAAAAAAAAAAAAAAAGAAAGTCCTGTCAATCAACGCATGGGTTTATGTCCATTGCTCAGCCCTTCTCCAATCAGACTCATTCCCCCAGCATCCCTGACACACCACTCTAAAATGCAGCTGCTGATGGTTCACCTTCCTCACTTTTGTCTACAAATCTCAATCCTGCTGATTCCACAAATCCTACATCAAGCAATATCATTTTATGAGCCTTTCCACAACCACCCCTTCAGGGGATTCTTCAATTTCCGTCACACAGGAAGTCTTCAGAGTATCACCCTCAGAGCCAGGCAAGAGGGACTCCTGGCTAGGGTTTCATGCTTTAGAGAGTCCAGCTCTGACGCCTTTTGGCCATAGGACTAATGTGATATGCCCACCTGGAGCCTGTGCCCTCCCTTCTAGGCCATGCCCTGGGACTCAGAATCCCTTACCCTAGATGGCCACACAATCACTTTCAGGTCCATCCTCTCTGGGCAGACATCACAAATGTGTGCACCCCAAGGCCCGAGGCCAAGAAGGCAGCTTTCTGGATGTAGGGGCTGAGGTGTTCACACACATTTGCATAGCCCCTCAATTCAAAGAACAAGGGGGGAAAGTAAGAAGAAAAGAAGTAGCTGGTGATCAGGACCAGCTCTCGCAACTCAGCCATGTTGGGTCTTTCTGATTACACCACTTAGCTCAAGTGCAATGCTCAAGACACTTAGCACATTCTCCAGCTGAATTTACCAGTGTTCATGGACTACCTGGGTTAGAAATGTATTTCACTATAAAGTAACATACAAATGAGCAGAAAGGGAGTTAATAAGATTAATAATAGAGTTAGTTTACATTATGAACTGAGTTTTGAGAAACATAATTTCTTTCAACACTAATAACAACCTTGTGGGGGTTCATTGTCTCCCTTTAAAAATTAGGAAACCAAGGCTTTGCCGTGGTCTCATAGGAGGGTCAGAATAGCATTTTTGTGACCCCAGAGCATACTCCTCTCCACTCCACCTACCCATGTGTCCAACTCAGACGCCTTCTGGGATGTCCATGTCAACTATTCTTTAAAGAGTAACCAACAGATGGATAGTTTTCTGTTTGTGAATCAATGGTAGGTGACTGAAAAATTGGTTCTGAGAGGTTGCTTTGCAAGGATTGATGGTCACAGGCTGAGAAGCAGATTTGAAAGACCTACCTGCTAGCAGCATGAAGAGCTGCTCTTCCTTATCTTGGCATTAACTAGTTAATTATTGGAGGTGGGTGCAGGGATGGATTATGTGTATTCTTAATTGTTGGAGAGTGGGTACTGGGAGTTACAAAGACCTTTGTGATTTTCGACCTTGCAGAGCTGAGCAATTTCCAGTTGCTTTACTTGCTGATAACACTGCTTCCCTTATCTACTATGGAACACATCTTAATGAAGAATTTGCATTCACAGCATCCGGTTAATGAATATGAAACTAAACAGTGTATATCCCTCTGATGGATGGGATTTCGGAGGCACAGACATTACACACATATTTGATGATAAAGTACTAGAAGTGCAGGGAATTGAGGTCAAGCTTCCTCCTAAGGGGACTGAATCCCAGAGAGAGCAGGTGACTTAGTAATGAGAAGGGGAGCTGTCTGTTCAACCAGGATGCTCCTCCTATGGCACAAAATTCAGTTTTAAAAATATATTAAATTCAAATCAAATGTGTTAAGTGTGAGTTCTATCCCTACAGGTGTGAGGTAGAGGTGGAGGACTTCGTATGCAATCGAGAAATAAATATAAATATTAGGTCTTCCATGACATAGGATTCACTGACCCTCTCATGGGCATCCTCTGAAGCATTTTGAGATTTATTGCTATAGAAGAGCCTCCCAAACATAATCTCACTTAGAAAAGGTAATCATACTAATATGATTTTGTTCACAGGAGAGAATCTAAGTGCACACCACTGCTTAAAGTTATTTCTTTGCTCCTAGGTTTAAGGGGAACTAGTAAATAAGAACATTCCACTTTGTCTGCATCAGTAAAGATGAAAGATGATGACTTAGGAGGTAGGAATTGGTGTGGGAAACATTTTTCTACGTTCCCAATATTCTGAAACACATATGACTTCATTCAATCATAAGGTAAACAGAGTATGTAATTTACCAGAAAAAAGTAATGAGACTGGTGGTGCTAGGTTTTCATACTCTAGCTATTAATGAATTAAAGAGAGTAACACTCCTGAAAGGATAGCATTTTCTCAAGAAAGCTGGAAAAGAATGTGTGGCGTTTAAAACATACCAAGCTCTGTGGCCATAATGCTCTTAAAATTCATCTGTCTAAAGAAATTAGAAGTGAATCATATTAAATAAAGTTTAGATATATCTACTTTATCTTCCTGAAAATATAATTTCATTACAATCGAATTTATCAAATTTTATCTGATTTGACTTGCTATTTAAAATACTTTATAATTTACTTGCATATTTGGAATTACAATGTTCTTAATATACTTCTTGATTTTAACAAAACGTAGGACAAATGTTAATCAAATCAAACTGTTCAAAGTTACTTTATAACACATTCCTATGAACACACCATACACACAGTAATATCTAGCAAGGGTGTCAATTTTTCTTTATTTTTAAAATCAGATCATTTAAAGAAGTTATTTACTACAAATGACTCTACACACGCACGCACGCACATACACACAAACACACCCAAACCTTTTTAAAGAAACGCTAGAACCCAACCCCCTTTAGGCCAGAGGAAAACATTACAATGTACACGCACTTGTGCCTGTTGCCGTAGAGTAATACGGTAGCAGCAGGAGATTACGGTACTAGCTGGGCTACTGCCTGTGTTACGTCAGCGAGAGCTGCAAAGTTCCTTGCTATTCTTTTCTGGTGTCGGGGAGCTGAATATTAAAAGGGTGATTGTGGAGTTATCGGTTATCTGTATTTTTTTTTTCTTTTTCTATTTTGACTCTTTTTAAAAATGCAGGTAAAGTGACAGCGGGCCAGGAGCTTAAAGACATCGGTGGTGGAGGGGTGAGTCAGCGGGTGCAAAAGGACAAGGATTTGGTTCCTCGGAGAGACGGTCCCCTCTCCGCCTCCAGAGAAGAGCAGGCAGGCAGCTCCCGGGACCCAAGCCGGGTCCACCTCCCACGCTCGCGAGCTGGTGGCTCAGCAGCGGCGCTTCAGGTGAGTGCGCTGGGGCGGGCGTCCCGCAGGGCCCAGTGGGTGAGGGCAGACATCCCCCGCCGTCTGGTGAGACCGAACCCCCACTTTTCACAGCGCCTCCCGCTTTTTCCACCAGGTTTTATACCAGCCCCTCTACCCCACCCCCGATTCCCTTACATCTTCTGCGAAGTTGCCTTCTACTTAACAAGTGTCTTTTTAACCCTGTGTTTATCACCCTCGAGGTAGGAGGAAAAGGGTTTCTGCAGTGGCACGTTTTTAATACCACCTGTGAGGTCTTAAACTTGGGATTTTAACAACAGTCTTTGCCCGAGGTCCCACCTCAGGGCCCAACCCAAGAAGGTACTTCTTGGTGGGTGGGTACTTCCTCACGCCCCGCGGTCCTGCCGAGTCCCCGCGGTCAGTTCGCAGTTGTGGAAACCCAGGTTTCTTACGCAGATGGTGGTCCCCAGCCCAGAAAATCGAGGCGGCCCCTGCCCGCTGGCATGCCGGCTTCATGTTTACGCCTGCAAAATCCGCAGTGACTGTCACTTGCAAAGCTGCCTCTGCAGAGGGACGTCCTCCCCACTCCGTCCCCCGGCAGTCCCGCTACGGCTGGCAGCTGGAGCCCCTCGGGTGGCCAACAGTGAGGCTTGGAGAGGCGTCGTGGACAGACCTGGGTCGCTTTCAGCCCTCGGGTCCCTCCCGGCTTCGCTCAGGACCTGGCTCTCAAGTCAGCTTGGCTGGTGGACAGACCGGCGCGCTCTGCACACCCGAGTGCGAATTCCACCGGCGTGAGCGTGAGCGTGCGCGTGGTCCTGGCCCTGCGGTCCCTGGGTCGCAGCGGTCCCCTCTCCCAGGCCGCCCCCTCCAGGTGACTGCGAAGCAACCTGTTCTAATGCAAACCGAGTACATCCTCCAGAATTCCCCGGCTAGGATCGGTGAGACACACTCGCCAGCCGCGATCGCCCTTCCCGGGCTTCGACGATTTTAATTTCTCGGTACCGGCGCTCGAAATCCAGCCTTCGAGCGCTGGAGCCTGCGGTTAGGGGGATTTGTTTTTTTGTTTGTTTGTTTTTCGCTTCGGATCCTGAACTCGGGCAGACGAGACTCAGTAGAGCGCGCGAGGCAGGTTCCCAGTGGTGGGGACGAGAGATGCGCTCCGGAGTCGCCTCCGCCGCAGCCGGGCGAAGCAGCTTCTGGACCGCAGAACCAGCCCGGCTCCCAGCTGGCGTCCCGCAGCCCGTCGAGCTCAGCACAGCCTCTCTTTGGGGCGCCTAGCTCACAGCCCGCCTTTCTCTTTGCGCTCTTTCAGGTGGACGCGTTCAAACGATGCCCGGCAGCCGCCTGTGTCTCAACACATATTTCACACCCACGTCCCCTGGCCTGTGCTCCTAGAAGCTGGAGACAGCAGGAGCCTTCGGTGGGGCAGCTCAAAATGTAGGTAACTGCGGGCCAGGAGCAGCGCCCACATGCCATCGGTCCCTGCCTTTGAGCGTCGACGGCTGATCCTTTGGTTTGAGGGGGAGACTGGCGCTGGAATTTTGAATTCCGAATCATGTGCAGAATGCTGAATCTTCCCCGAGCCAGGACGAATCACACAACGCGGAAAAGCAGACTCTCGTAATTTTGGAATTGCATGTTGCAAGAAGTCTCCTGGATCTTCACGCCCACCCTCGGGTAGGGAGGGAGTTGGGGTTCGGGCTAGGCCAGCCCAGCAGGTGGAGAGGGTCTCGGGCAGCCCCGCGCTCCCCTGGCCATGTCGCCTTTAATGCCCTGCCCCTTCGTGTGGCCTTCTGAGGGTTCCCAGGGCTGGCCAGGGTTGTTTCCCACCCGCGCGCGCGCTCTCACTCCCAGCCAAACCCAGCTGGCAGGGCTCCCTCCAGCCGAGACCTTTTGATTCCCGGCTCCCGCGCTCCCGCCTCCGCGCCAGCCCGCGGGGTGGCCCTGGAGAGCCGGACCTCACCCGGCCCCGGCTGGGACCATGGTGTTTCTCTCCGGAAATGCTTCCGACAGTTCCAACTGCACCCAACCGCCGGCACCGGTGAACATTTCCAAGGCCATTCTGCTCGGGGTGATCTTGGGGGGCCTCATTCTTTTCGGGGTGCTGGGGAACATCCTAGTGATCCTCTCCGTAGCCTGTCACCGACACCTGCACTCAGTCACACACTACTACATCGTCAATCTGGCGGTGGCCGACCTCCTGCTCACCTCCACGGTGCTGCCCTTCTCCGCCATCTTCGAGGTCCTAGGCTACTGGGCCTTCGGCAGGGTCTTCTGCAACATCTGGGCGGCAGTGGATGTTCTGTGCTGCACCGCGTCCATCATGGGCCTCTGCATCATCTCCATCGACCGCTACATCGGCGTGAGCTACCCGCTGCGCTACCCAACCATCGTCACCCAGAGGAGGGGTCTCATGGCTCTGCTCTGCGTCTGGGCACTCTCCCTGGTCATCTCCATCGGACCCCTGTTCGGCTGGAGGCAGCCGGCCCCCGAGGACGAGACCATCTGTCAGATCAACGAGGAGCCGGGCTACGTGCTCTTCTCAGCGCTGGGCTCCTTCTACCTGCCGCTGGCCATCATCTTGGTCATGTACTGCCGCGTCTACGTGGTGGCCAAGAGGGAGAGCCGGGGCCTCAAGTCTGGCCTCAAGACCGACAAGTCGGACTCGGAGCAAGTGACGCTCCGCATCCATCGGAAAAACGCTCCGGCAGGAGGCAGCGGGGTGGCCAGCACCAAGACCAAGACGCACTTCTCGGTGAGGCTCCTCAAGTTCTCCCGGGAGAAGAAAGCGGCCAAAACGCTGGGCATCGTGGTGGGCTGCTTCGTCCTCTGCTGGCTGCCTTTTTTCTTAGTGATGCCCATTGGTAAGTCTTGTAAGTCAGTTTAGCATTTGGGGGTCTTCACCCTTCTTGGCTTCTGTTACCCCAGACTCCCAGTCCTGGATGGGAGAGGACGGATTAGCATTTCAAACAGCACAGCTCTAGGGCAATTAGAAAAGGCTCCCGTGTAGAAAAGTGAATTTTCATTCTTTTTCTACTCCAGTCTCATTTATATTAGGTCCTAGAGCACTTTTTCCACTGTAAAGTGGCTTCCAACTGATGGAGATTAATTGTTCTCTGTAATAAGAATGTGAACTTTTCTTAATGCCTATAAGCACGTGTTTAATTTAAATGCATCTGCTCTCTCTAGTCTCAGAGTCTCCACCAAGTGTTTAGGCTGACTGTGGAATGCCATTTTCACTCTGCTACAGAACGCAAATTCTCTTGGCCTGAAAATAAGTACCACGCTTATTCTGGACAAATGTGCGATTTTATTATTGCATTAGGTTATTCATAAGGGTTTGTTTTAATGGTCTGTTTATGTTCTATATCTGTGCTAATTTTATTTTCTGGATTCAGTATGGAAGGAATTATGGTGAACCACTAAGAAAAAAAATGATTCTATGTCCAAACCAATTTTAGCCTTAAATAATTAATCGTAATGTTTCCAATAAGTAAATACTTATTTTTTTATTTTAATAGTAAGTATTAAAACAAACACTTCTCTTACCCAAAATCATCCGGGAAGTTGCAGATGACACTGTTTGAAAATAATACAGTACACATAATGTTACAAATCCAATTTTTGCAGATGCTAAATTAGCTGTTGTCAAAATTAATTAGCTCGTTATAAGTATCAGCAAGCTGATCCACTTGGAATAGTCATCTATCTCCTTCAGTGAGATCTAAAAATGGTTGTATGCTATTTTTAGTTTGGAAGCTCAAATATAGACCCAAACATCGATTATCCACCAACTCTAAAAAACAAAACATCATGGTTAACATTAATAAAAGTCCATTTCAAGTGCTTTACAGCCTAATTTAAATGGCATGTACTTAAAGTACTTTAATTTGCAACTCTGTGCAATAATAGCAACTATTATTTTTTTGTGCCATTTATGTTCCAGACATTTTCCCAAGTTTTTATTTCATTAGTCCTCTCGACAACTCGGTGAGTTATACACAATTATCCTGCAATCACAAGTCATGGGAAGGGATTCTTCAGGTCCTAATACCATAGCCACAAGCCATGGATAGCTATTTAAATGTTAACTGAAATTAAATTAAATTAATATTCGGTTCCTCAATTTCTCAATCCCACTGACCACATCTTAAGTGCCCAATAGTCACACGTGGCCAGTGACTACTGTTTTAGACAGCAGAGATACAGGTCACTTCTATCATTGCAGAAATGTCTGTCCTATAGGGCTGCCAGAGAGGCCCTCTTTAGTCCAACACCTGGCCTTCCATTGTGCCTGCCCATCATTATTACTTACTCTGCTCCTGGAAGTACATCACAGCTTTGAAATTATAGAAATTACACTCTTTACCTGAGTCCCTTTGCACATTTATTCATGCATCTGCTCGCTCAACAAGTATTTATGGACCATCTCTTCTAGGCACTTTGGATGAACAGGGCAGAAAAGTCCTTGCCAATGAGATGTTTGCATTTGGAAAGGATAGACTTAAGCAAATGAATGTATCCTAAAAAGTAAAGATTAACATGCACTATAAAAAAATCAACAGGATGAGAGGTTAGAAAGTGACAAAGACAATGAGGGTCTGCTTTAGTGGGTAGTGGGGAAAATTCTGTCTAAAGAGGTGATATTTGAGCAGAGTCCCGACTGGACTGAAGAGCAAAGCTTGCAAGATCTGGGAAGAAGAGCTTCCTGGGCAGAGGGAGCAGTGAGTACAGAGATGGGAAAGAGCCTGACCTGTTCAATGAAGATCATGGAGGCCAGTATGACTCAGCTACAGACAGGGAGGGAGCAGTCAAGTTCAAGAAGAGATTGGAGAGATAGACAACACCAAAGTCAAGTGGGGTCTTTTAGACCAAAGTAAAATTTCCATATTATTCTAACTGCGGTGGGAAGTCATTCAAGGGTGTTTAGCAGGTGAGTGGCCAGTCTCATTTATATTTTTGAAGGATCATTCTGGTTGTTGGGGGGGAAATTGACTGTTTGGGGGCAAGAGCAGAAGCAGAGACTAGTTAAAAGGCTATTAGAAGTCGAGGGGATAGAGGTCATGACATCTTGAACTCAGGTGGGACAGGTAGAGGTGGTAAGAAGTGATCACATTTAGCACTTATTTTAAAGGTAAAGCTGATGAATTCAGACAAAGGTATGAGAAAAAGGGAGGTTTAGGGCCTGAACAGCTGAGTAAATAGTAATGCTTTTTATTAAGACTGGCAAAACCAAAGAGTTACATGGTTGCAAGGGGCTGCAGGGAGTGAGAAGTAGGAGCCTTTCTTTTGTGTACACTGTGTTGAGAAACATTCATTAGACATCGAAGTAGAGATGGCAAGTAGGGAGTTAGATACTGTACATAGATTTGGAGCTTAGAGAGGAGGCGGGATACAGATATAAACTTGGGATATGTCAACATCTTTAAAGCTATAGGAATAAAGAGGTTGACAAAAGAGAAGGTAAAGAGAGAAAAGAGACAAGAACAGAGCCTCCACACCTGTAGTTCCAGCTACTCGGGAGGCTGAGGCAGGAGAATTGCTTGAACCCGGGAGGTGGAGTTTGCAGTGAGCCAAGATCGCGCCACTGCATTCCAGTCTGGGCTCAGAGCGAGGCTCCATCTCAAAAAAAAAAAAAAAAAAAAAGAACAAAACCTCCAGGGAATTCTGATACTTGGGGGTCAGGTCAGAAAAAAGACGAGAAACAGCCAGCAAACAAGATTGCAAAGGACTAGCCAGGGAGAGGAAAAATCAGGAGAATGTGATATCCTGGAAGCCTAATGAAAATGTTTCAAGAAGGCAGGAATAATCAACTGTGTCACATGCAGCTGAGAGGTCAGGTTAGAGGAGGACTGGGAGCCAACATTGGATTTGGCAGTAAGGAGGTTCTTAGTGACAGGAGGAAAACACGTGAGGCTCACAGCTCCAGGGGAGTGATGGAACCAAAAGCCTGATTGCGTACTTTCTAGAAAGAACAAAGGATGAAAAAAGTGGGAACAGGGAAAATAGACAACTCTTGTGAAAGGTTTTGCTATACAGTGGAGCTTGGAGATGTGGTGTAGCTGGAGGGGTCTAGAGAAGGCTTTCAATGGTGGGAGGTGGGTATATGACATGATATTTACATTCTGATGGGAACAATGGGATAGAGAGAGGCACTGATGGGATAAGCAAGAGAGGAGACAGGATTCAGTGCCCAAGGAGAGCATTGGAAAATGACAAGGAAAGTAAAGTGTGTGAGTCCTGAGGCAAGTAGAGACAGAGGGAGAGACATATTGATCCCTTTAGGATATGTTTATGTCCTCAGTGAAATATGAAGCAAGATCATCAGCTAAGAGTGAGACAGGAATGGGGAACGATGGCAGTTTGAGAAGCAGAGAAGGTGTGAAAGATTCATCTTTGAGAGTGGAAGAGTAAACATTTTATGGAAGTTTAGTAGAGTCACTGGATAGTCCTGAAGGCCTATTTGAGATTTACGGTCATAACATTAAAGTAGAGCAGTCAGGAGGGTTGTGTGAGAGCTAAGCAGCTGAGGGATACAGGAGGCATTGCTGAGGACCAACTGTGAGTCCCAGAGAGTGTTTGTGAAGAGACACAGACTCAGTCAGGTTAGGGAGCATCCACAGCCAGGTGGTAGAAGGAGCCCGGGTGATGATGGGTGGCCTGAGAGTTTGGAGCTTGTGGTGGTGGCTGAGCTATGCATAGAGATGACAAACAATGGCCTGGGTCCTGCAGTCGTCTAGGGGAGGTGGACGCTCTGTCTAATCATAGCCCACTCTTGGATTTGCTCTCCCAGGGAGTCAGCAGTGTGGAGGAGAAGATGTTGTGGTGGAGATAAGTGGTGGTAGACAGGAGCCCACGGAATCAGTGGACTTTAAATCCTAGTAAGGTGCTGGGTGCAGTGGCTCATGCCTGTAATCCCAGCACTTTGGAAGGCTGAGCAGGCGGACCACTTGAGGTCAGGACCAGCCTGACCAACATGGTGAAACCCCATCTCTACTTAAAACACAAACATTAGCTGGGCATGGTGGTACACACCTGTAATCCCAGCTACCTGGTAGACTGAGGCTGGAGAATCGCTTGAACCCAGGAGACAGAGGTTGCAGTGAGCTGAGTCACACCACTGTACTCCAGCCTGGGCAACAGAGCGAGATTCTGTCTTTAAAAAAAAAAAAAAGGAGGGGGGGAGATTATATGACAGGAGGGAAGTAGGGAACATACAGTTCACAAGGTCTGAGTAGCTGCTCAGTAGCGCAAAGCATTCCTGAACCTGCCAATCTGTGGTCCCCAGTTTCCTCCTGACACCAGTTGAGTAAGAGATGATTTCCTCCAAGAATGTACTGGCTATATAATAAGCACCAGGCTCTGGGCTACACAGAATAAAAAAGATGAATAAAGCACAGTGCCCTCAAGGGCTTCACAGTCTAGTTAAGGAGACAAATTGTCAACAATTATTGCAAGTCTGTGAGATTGGTGCTCAGAGTGATATTATTACATGGTGCTCAGGATGGTGCTCAGAATGACATTATTACCCAGTGCTAAGGAATATAGCTGTTAACTATGTCTGGAGGTCACTGAGAAGTTTCTACATGCATGGCCATTGACAGAGCAGAGACTTAAAGAAGATGGCACTACTTCCGCTGGGTCATCAACTAGATGTTATATGTCTTTTTATTAACTGTCTTAAGTATGTTTTTCATGCAAAATGTGAACAGAAGAATAAATATACTATCATATTATTATATGCAAGGGACATTCATTCTTAAATATGACATGTGCTGTTTTGGGAAAAAAGGCTGTCGGTCTGCACTAGACTGCAGGAGAGGAAAGAGATTAAAAACTAAAACCAGGGCAGGGATGAGTGTGC